CACACACACACACACACACACACACACATACACATACACACACACACACACACACACACAGACATACCTTCTTACAGGAGCTGAATGTGCCATCAGGCAGAAGGGGCCTTCGACGCCTCTCAGGGATAAAGGGTGATCCAAAACGAATGTAGTGTTTGGGGGTGGTGCAAATTAATGGGGAATGGATAAGACCCGGTAACATGTTCAGGGTCGTTGCCAGTACAGTTGGATCCGTCGTGATACGTAAAGGACACTCAACAGGGCACTCTTGCTTCTCTGCTTTATCATTCAACCATTCTGTAACTAGATACTAAGGTAAAAAAGAGATCATTAGTTGATGTTGCAGATATATAAATCAAGAGGTAGTAATGTAGTTCACAAAGATGAATGTCATCTAGAAGCTAGGACAGAGGGAGATGCAGCAGCTGCAGTTAAGTATGAACTGGGCAATCAGAAGGCATGGGTATCTTCTTTCACTCTCTCTATGTCCACTAAGAGAGGAATAATTTCAGGTATCAGTGATTTAAGCTGACTAAAAATAAGGAAACAACAGGCAGCAGGATGGCTCTGGCCTTTTGTGTCAAAGCATTTTAGAACTTTCAGTCTAATAATATTGGTATTAGTTTCTTCTGGGGATTATAGGTCCTCTCATTTCACTAAGACAGCCCTTGCCAGACTAGACTTATAAAAGATGCTATTTGTGACTTACCTTTTTGGTTTTGGGGTACTTAGATGCAGCACGGTTGACATGGGATCCACCAATTGACACCACAGTTGGGTCAGACCCTGTTAATTGCCTGTTTTCTCCTGAACTGTCTATACTTCCAGCTTCAGTAGGAGTTACTAAACTGTTATTTCCTCCCTCGTCCAAGGCAGCTTGTGACAACTCTGCCTGCTGTGCACTGGCCTGCTTCTGACGCTTTAGTCTTTGGGCTGAACTGGTCCTGTATCGAGAAATTCGACTCTTCGGCCGGGGCCTAGAAGGCTTTGCTGGAGGTGGCTTGGGGACTGGTTTTTCTGCAGCAATATCCTGTAGCAATAGTAGGTAGGGTTAAATGCTTAGTAGAAATGTCTTATCAGCAAACAGTCTAATTTTCTATTCACGTTAAGCATTCAGAATGTCTACTGATGAAAACTGTAAGGATTAGAAACACTAATTTAAAATGTAATTCTTAAACACAAAAATGTATACATTTAAATGAGCTAGAGAGGCTAGGGGCAGATGTCTGGGTTAATTATTTCTATTTCTAATAAGCATTTATAAAATAGGCCAATGAAATGGTTCCAGTTAAACAGTTAATGGCCTTATTTATTGTGATATGGAACACAGCTGAAAATACTGATTTTAACCATTCCAAAACATTAGCAAAGGTGAGGATGTCTAAGCTCTGAAGACTTACCCCTGCTTGGGAAGACCGCCGGGTGTTCACACCAACACTCTGTGGGGTGCTTGGGATGGTAACATTTGAAGCAGAGTTACTAACTTCAGATTCAGGGGCTTCAGTTTTTGTCTCTTCACCAACGGGAGCCTCTGAAGTGGTTGTAGTAATTTCTATATCAGAGTTGCTCTGTTCCAAGGGCTGATCCCGCCGCTTCTTTCTTTTCTCTAAGTTTTCAAAAGCATGCATGATGGCTTCTACCTTCCTGTCTTCTCGGGTCTAGAAATAAATGGCATTGGTGTAGAAGGAAGCTTCAAATGAGGATGAGGGAACAGGCTTTACAAAAGTATTATTAATGGAAATTTATAGAAACTCATTTAACTACCAATAAGATGACACACATAACTTGGAAAAAAGATAAAAACTAAAAATAAAATATTTCATTTTAAATGTAGGGAATGGTTGTAAATAAAGGCAAGGTCAAACATAAACTTCAAAAAGGGTCAGTTATTTTGAAACTTTTTAATATAAAAGAAAAAGTCATCAAAACCAAGTTTTCTTTGTATTTTCAGAGTTCTAAAATAACCAAGTAGATTTTCTTTAAACTAAATCAGGGTCATAAACACACGACTGGTTTCAGCATAAAAGCAGAATATTTTAGTTCAAATGACTAAAAGGGTTTTAAAAAAATTCAAAACTCACACAAACCTAGAAAATTCCTAATTCAGAGCAAATCAACTATAATATATTTTGATTCTGACCAGCCAATTTTTTGGAACCAGACTGTTAGTTTAAAAAAAAAAAAAAAATCTTTTAAAACCATCACTACATAATAATCACTAGAAAACTGCAAGAAATAAAAAATTAAAATAAAACCTATATTATGGAAAAAGGCCAAATTATAACCTACAGGTCAAATCAATGAGATGATACAAAGTCAAGAGAACAGAAGGGGTTCACATAATGCAAGTAGCAGAAATGAGAAGGAGCAAAGGACTGTCAGATGGTACTCACCCTCCTGCTATGAGCTAGGTTCTCCTGATCATCTATAACCTCTTCTTTCTCTTCTTCTGGTTTTTCTTCTGGATTGTCTACTTCCTTTAAGACAGAGGCAATATTCAGCTGTACTCAAGCTCTGAGAAAAAATCAATGTTTTATTCTGGTAGCTTAAAACTCTCTATAACAATTTCTAGTGCTTTAAAGTATTAACTCATGTGAGGCCACATGGTAAACACAGATGATAAGCCCTATTCTCTGGTGCAAAACCAACAAAGGATGTTCTTGACATTGTAAAACAGGAATGAATGAACACAACACACCCACTTTGATACAAAGGGTATTAAGTATTACTAGCTCCCCTACTTAAACCATGCGGCAACCTGGGATCCTCTTCCTTTGGAGGATAGCTGCCATAGCATCATTTGACCAGGGACGATTACCTCATGGTCACTGGATACAGTTACTTTTTCTGGAACTTCTTGTGATTGCTGGTCATTATTCTCCTCTGGAGCCTCATTCTGCTGCTCCATCTCTAGCTCTTTCCGTCGTGCTTTTCTACGTCTAGTCTCTGCTCCAATGGTGGGTAGGCTTGGAGTAGGTGGTGGGAGTGGCAGTTCTGTAGCATTAGGATTCCTTTTTTGTATAGGACAATTCCGGTTTCCCTTGTGACACGCACAGTCCACTTTATAATTACTGCTCCAAAGAAACAACCAAAATGCCTGTCTCAGTGCCCTTGAAATTCAGTTTTATTATCCATTCACTCTCTCAAAATATCAGCACAGTAATTTCCTCTGATATTGGATCTGAATAAGTTTAACAGAGACATTAGAGAGTCCTATACATACTTTTGTTTTTCTTTTTATTAGAGACAGAGTTTTGCTCTGTCGCCCAAGCTGGAGTGCAGTGGTGCATCGCAGCTCACTGCAACCTCCACTTCCCAGGCTCAAGTGATGTCCTACCTCAGCCTCCTGAGAAGCTGGGACTACAGGCATGCACCATCATGCTCAGCTAGTTTTTTCATTTTTGGCAGAGACGGGATTTTGCCATGTTGCCTAGGCTGGTCTTGAACTGCTGGGCTCAAGTGATCTTCCAGCCTCAGCCTCCCAAAGTGCTGGGATTACAGGCATGAGCCACTGTGCCTGACCTAACACTTTCAGGATTCTGTCTTTCTCTGTGTAACCCCAATTCTACCCCATGGTCAGTGGGGGAAAAAAAAAGACAGCCATCTCTAAATTCAATTCTCCCAATGGTTTATTTGCTATTTAGCAGGCAGTGAATCAATGATAAAGGTTGATGTGGGGAGACTCATCTCATGCCCACCATTACTATGACCTCACTTTCACCTACTAATTCCCTACTTCTTATTAAAACTTTTTTTTATTTTCTTTGATGAATTAGGCAGAAGATCTTTTCTTCTTATACCTAGACCTAACATCACTTTACCACATAATCTCTATTTTGCCCAAAGTGACCAAGGAAAAGCATATAATTTATAAAATGCATCACATATTCATCTGTAAATTGCCATTTGTTTTTCTGTATTGTCATATACAGCTAGATTACATGGTTTCTGTGGACATGGTGAATCTTTAAATCCCACCCCTAGGTTTATAAGGTTATAATTGACAAATTAAAAGTACACGCAACATATTAAATTCTCATTCTATATAGTCCCTGACGTAAGTACTCTGTGCATAACAAGAGGATGCTATTGTAATTTCCAGGAGTACCTCATAAATATATATTCATTTCGCTAATTCTTGCTGAAAAGGCATAAGCCAAACAAAACGCTTTTGTCAGGAAACTTGTAAGCAGTATCATACAAGGTTATCTGTATCTCTAAAAAAAAAAAAAACCTTAAGTTTGTCTTTTCCTTTACAATTTCTAGGCAGAAGATGCATTAGTCATGAAAAGATTAAGTAAACAAAGGAAAAGGCAAGAAACAAAAGCAGACTTTAAACAGAGTGAATAGTTTAATACGTAAGACAAGGACATTTATGTTAGGAAAGGTCTTAGAGGTCTTACCAGTTACTATACTCATAATCAAATGCTATGGTGACCTCAGCATCCTTGGTGATGGCAGACACAGCATAGATACACAGGTGAATCATCCCATCTGCAATCATGTGTCGCACCTGGATGAAAAGGCTTCTGGTTGGATTTTTCATAAACATCATGAAGTTTCCATAAGAGAGGAAAAAACCTTTTACCCTAACACTTTCTCTTCATTTAGAGTTAACGGTGATCTGTTATTTAGCCCCTTCATTTCATCTGAAAGTAATATACTGTACAGGCTTGAAAATTTATGATACTTCTTGAAATACGTGGAGAAATCTTGAGATGTTAGAAATCAGGGTAAAATCTCTGCTTTCACATCTTATAGCTGTTTCCAGCTGCACCAGAGATTTAAAATTCCTTAGCCAGTGAGTAAAGCTCTGTGGATTTTCTTGCTTTATTTGATGTGGTTGCTCTGAGTAATGAATTCTGGAAATGTCTAGATCCTCTCATAGAACACTAGTTACTAAAATCTGAAAAAACTGCAACCAAATAGTTGAGTTAGGCCTAATGACATCTACTTCCACTGTATGGCAATTTCTTTAATATAACTGCACTGATTTTCTTATCCACTCTAGCTTTCTCCTTAGCAAATGCTAACTTGTTCTTTCCTTCTCTAAAAAAAATTCTTTCCTTACTTCTGTTTTGTCAGTATAAAAGCACCATTACTTTTGTTTTTCACCTCTCACAATGAAAAATCATGACTATTATCTACAGACCTTTATCTGAGTGAAGTTTCACACTGCTTCTTCAGTAAGCTTGTCATTTGGTGGTTCCACTCAAAGGAATGTTGCTATAGATATCTTACCTCTGCATTTGGTGTACAAGATCTTCTGATGAACCGAGCATCATTACCGAAAGTACGGGCATCCACACACATCTCTACACCATTGAATTTTGAGTAGAAGAGCACAAAGGGATATGGTCTAGGGACATAATTAAAATTCCTGTAATTCTCAACACAAATAAAAGGCCACCCCATGACTCCAAATATGAAGCAGATGCTAAAAGAAGCAGCAGTGGTCTTTTGCAATGCCTAAACTTGGAAAATATACATGCTTGTCTGCTTTTGATTAAAGAACAAGCACAAAACAAGGAATGCTTGGCTTGGAAAGGAGATGTCACCACTTTATACATTAAAAAATTTGCAGATTTACTTGCACTTCTCTACAAATAGCAGACAGGCGTGAGCTTATCTGAGTTGCGATTTTTTTTTCTCCCAAGAGCATCCTATCAAACAATGATTTTTACAACAACAATGGTCAATCAGGTCCACATTAGCCCTCACTGCCCAATGAACAATGTTCTTACTTTTTGAAGAAATGCCCATTGACCTCAAATTGTTGTCGTAACATGACTTTCCCACGATACTCTATTATAAGAGTGTCCAAAGCCAAATCTCTTGCAGCCCTCAGGATTTTCCGGTGCTTTTGAACACGAGTGACTCTTCCCAGCTGTAACTGAATAAAACCAGAGCAGTAACATTAAACAGCAAGAACAGCTTAGTAGACACTCAAATTATTTCATAATTAAGGAAAAGGCGCTAACATTTTCAGGTTTTATCTCTGTGTTATTTAGATCAATGATGAGAAATTTTAAAATGGGATAAAACCTCAATTTTTTGAAGAGACATGCTACATCTAGTGAAACTGCCTCCCCAGAAAAGGCAAGAACAGATCAAAGAAAAATACAGAACTAAGGTTTCAGTGACTCTATCTCTAATATAAAAATGAGAGAGAACCCGCTTAACTTTCTACAAACCTTACACAATTCCTACCTAGGCTGTATAAAATTTCCCATACTAAGCCTTTTTCTACTAAAGAGAGACAGGGTCTCACTCTGTCACTCAGGCTGGAGTGCAGTGGTGCAATCATAGTTTACTATAACCTCAAATTCCTAGGCGCAAGTAATCCTTCCACCTCAGCCTCCCCAGTAGCTGAGACTTACAGGTGTGTTCCACCACAACTGGCTAATTTTTAATTGTTTTTGCAAAGACAGGGTCTATGTTGTCCAGGCAGGTCTTGAACTGCTGGCCGCAAGCAATCCTCCCACCCTGGCTTCTTGCCAAAGTGCTGGTATTATAGGAGAGCCATTGCACACAGCATCAATTCATCTATTTTTGATTAATAAAAGTAGTTTAAAAATAAGTATCCAGATAGTTTCCAGTTAATGTAACCTACTTTTGGTTACATATGATCGACACCTGGCTAATTTGTTATTCTAAGGCCTTGTACATTTGGAAGGAACAGTAATTTCAATCCATTACTCTCTTCCTGGGTCCTTAATATTTCAGCTACTTAGAGAGTCTTCAATCCTTTGATACTTACCTGCATTTGGGAACCAATAACTGTGTTATTACAGGCCAATTCAGTCTTATTAATAGTGTCTAAAATAGTAGGTTTGCCCACAAACTCCTTGTTAGAATGTAGATGTTGTTCAAGGGCGTTCTGCACATCTGCACTGTATTGATTAGTGAAAGCTTCTTCATACTGGTCAGTCCATAGTCTTATCCGATTTTCCCAGCCCTCGGTTGTATTCTCATCTAAATTCTGTGCTTCAGAGGGAGAATTCTGTAGAAAACAAATTCAGAGAGATTAGTAAAGTCCACGTATAAATAGGGGGTTGGGAATGGGGGTGGTACAGGTTGGGGTTCCAGAGAAAATTTATCGCTTGGCAACTGATGTGGCATAAAAGAGTAATGGACTGGGAGTCAGGAACTGGTTTCTATCATGCTTTTGTTACCAATGAAAGGTGAGACCTTGAAAAACTTCTTTATGGGGAAGCTCAGTTTCTCCATTTACAAATTAAGAAATTAATTTGGATCGTAGTTTCATCCCATCACTGTGATTTTATGACTATTTTAAAGTCATAAAAATCAATTTTCTTATTAAAAACTGACATCAAGTTTGTAAGAAAATATCCATAAAAGTAAAGAGTAGAGACCTCAAATTTATCACTGATTAAATTTTCATACTCATTGAACATCTGTGTTAGTGGTAGCCCAAACTGGTTTTCTGACTATTTTCCAGGAGAATGAATGTTTTTGTGTCACTTATTTTCATAATACACGTTCATTCTAAATCTACATGTGACCCTAATCAATCTCATCAATTCAATCATAATCTTACTATTCATATATTATTTGAGTAATATCTTTCTAATACTATTTTCAACAATTTAAATTACCACATTCTAAATAATCTGAAGAGGTGAAATGAGGGGAGAGGAGTAGATAGGGAGAACAGAAAATGTCTAAGGGGTACTTTGTTATACTCCTTTAGATAAACCATTGTCTTTTATGGTGACAGTATTGAGGAAAGATTACAACTCAGAAACAGTTTCCTAAACAGACAGTGCCTGAGCTACAGAGACAAAGCTTAAGCCCAACACATGTTCTCCTCCATGGTGTTCAAGACTTAAGTGCCATCAGAAAACAAAACAAACACTGATAGTGATGATGTCATGCTAGCGATGATTAGAAGGAAAAGACATTGTAGTATCAAAGTTACTTGAAAATCTATGTCCATATTAAACTTGCAAACAGGCACAACAAAATTAAATATACTTTCCATGAATAGCACAGAAAACACTGATACTTATCATAACACTTTTACCACTTTCGCATCACTATTGCTGATTATTGTCTATTATCCTTTCTGCAAGGAACAGGAGTATGGAAGAAAAAAAAATCAACACTATTGTTTCCACATGTCTCACTAGAGTCCAAAAGACTGAACAATAAATGAAGGGATCTAAAGAAATACCTAAGGCCAACACACTAAGAATCAGAATATCACCTGCTTGACATCAGTAGCAGCTGAGCAAAGGAATAGTGCAAAACCTTAGACTTAACGGAGGTTACGGACTAGGGATTAGCAGTATCCAAACAATATTCCCAGCTTTAAGTAGCAATTATTAAACTTATGACTTGATCGGTGTACTGTATTCTGGGAGCCTCTGTCACAGTATTAGCCATTGTTCACTAATGTCACTGTGTGTTTACTCTGCTGACTCAGCCTTCAAGGCATTAGAGACTCTACCTCAATTGGGTTTAGAGCAGTGGTTCTCAATCAAGGGAAACTTTACACCCAGGTGACATTTAGTAATATCTGATGACATTTTTTATAATCTCAACTGAGTGTATGTATGTTACTAACACCTAGTGAGTAGATACCAGGGATCCTGTTCACATCTTGAAAACAAAGAACAGTCCCTTCCACAACACAGAACTATTTGGTCCAAACTGTCAACAGTGTCAAGGCTGAGAAAACCTGATTTATAATTAAGTCTTCAGTAGGGAAGCTGCTCTTGACATTGGGATTAAAAATCCAAATGATATTTTTTTCTAATTCTTATGGCTCCCACCTGGATCACTGAAGGAGTTTTAAACTAGTAATTCTGAGCAAAAATGTATAACTCTATTTACCATTAAAAGAATAAAAATGACTAGTAATTTTATTTTTCTATATAAATTTTAACACAACGGTGAGGCTGTCAATCTCCTCAAACTGTGAACAAAATTTGGGGTTTATGTGCAGTTTTCTGGAAGAGCCAGTTTACAGCTTTCAAAAGGTTTCGAGCTTCTGGAGAAAAGTTACAATAGTTGCTTGATAAGAGAAAAGCATTTAGTAGCCAGGATTAGGGCTATTATCTGCCTCCAAAGTCTATTTAAAAGGCCCCTCTCTAATGAGAGAAAAATAAAGGGGCAGTTAAAGCAAATGTGGCCACCTGCAGGAGACAGATCCAGCAAAAAAATGATTAATTTGTCTTCCAAGACACATCCCAGGCCTCTGATGCTCTGTAGTTCCGAGTCCTCTCCCATCTCTTTCACAGGCATGTACAAGTCTTTTTATAGGTAGATACTCAGTGAGGCCTTCAGACTTTCGATAAAATGTTACCTGTAATCTTGCTAACACCAGTCATATTGGTGCTGCACATAAAGCAATCCTCAAAAGCTTATCCTTACTGAAATGTTTTTTTTTGGGGGTGGTGGGGGATGGAGTCTACCTCATCCAGGCTGGAGTGCAGTGGCACGATCTTGACTCACTGCAACCACCGCCTCCCGGGTTCAAGCAATTCTTCTGCCTCAGCCTCCTGAGTAGCTGGGACTACAGGCACCTGCCACCACACCTGGCTAATTTTGGTATTTTTAGTAGAGATGGGGTTTCACCATGTTGGCCAGGCTGGTCTTGAACTCCCAACCTCAGGTGATCTGTCCATCTTGGCCTCCCAAAGTGCAGGGATTATAGGCGTGACCCAACGTGCCTGGCCTTCCTAAAGATTTTAATGGTTATGCCCTATAACTCTCAATAGGAAAGATCCTGCTTTTACACTATTGAAGAATATGAATACTTATAAATTCAAATTTAATTCTAATTAAATGCTTTGAACTCCTAAGTAATAATTTAGGAGGTATGTTGTTCTCCTATATATATGTACATAGGTTAAGGAAGATACCAGACAGCATAATCAAACCTCCTTTTGGCAAACTGTTTTTAATCAGTCAGCACCTAAAAGTTCTTTTAAACCATTGCACATAATCTCTCTATTCTCCAAGTTCTTTACAAAATCATGCCTCATAAACTCTTTTATTTCATGTCTTAAAAAACAAGCTAGCATTACTTAAGTCTTTTCCACCAAACAGATATGCTAAGAGAAAACAGTAATTCTTATCAATACAAGCTTCCTGCAATTAAAGACCACACAGTGCTAGGGTAGATGCACAAAAGATCCTATGTCATTACCAAGAAAACTTCACTCCTAAGGTTGAGCTCAATCACAGTGACAGAACACACCAGCCTCATTTTGTTTGGAAAAATGTCACTTACCCCCTAGAAAAGCAACGAATGAAAAACCAATCAATGAAAGCTGATTACAGAAAGGGAAAATATTTCAGAAAATGGCCAAGAAAAGCTACTTTGGAGAAAAGCTCTATGAAAACTGAATGGCAACAACTACAAACTAATGAAAAGCAGAATCCAAGATTCCCAGATCATCAGTGTCAGGAAAGAAGCTGACCAAAATGCAAGATCACAGTGAAGTAAAACACAGCATCAGGGAAGATTACCCCTTACCTTCATCCGCAAGGACTTCCGGGATCCCTCTCGAAATGCCTATCCCAAGGAGGAAAACAAGTAGAACAAACAAAACTTGGTACCAAGAATGACAGTTATACCTATCTGAGACTAAAGCTAAGGCACAAACTAGTGTTCTATTCTGTCCCCCTTTCTCTAGGTAAAAAAATACCATGGAATTCCCCAAACTCTTATCAAGAACAGGGGTACAAGGCCAATGAACTCTGAGACTGATTTCAATACTTTCTACTGTGAAGCTAGGTAATTAACAGGGAAGAGCATGCATCTCTTAAATCCTATACACACCCCTGATACTCAGAGAAAAAGTAAATAAAAAAATTTTAAAGTTGCAGATTTACCAGTTTTGAGACTAAGAAGGAAACAAAGACCAATCCCCTTAAAAAGGGGTGAACAAGTCACCTAGAAGCAACAGAGTTGCTGTGATGGGGAAGAAAGAACACAAACCAAAAGAAGTTTCTCCCGGAGACTTTTTAGCTGAGAATACAGGAAAGTGACCATGACACTGAGGAAGCCTAGACCATTCAAGAGATGTTTCCTGATTTTTTTTTTTTTTTTTTTTTTAACAAGGAAAACAATTAACCCAAAGACATGAGGCATATAACCAGGACAAGAATTTCAGACTGTACTTTGGGGTTCAGAGGTGGGGAGATACTGTAAGGATAGTGGAAGCCTAGACTTGAGGCTGCAACACATATGGGCTTGTGCCAGGTAGGGCTGCAATTTCATACCTGGGATGGGGGCTGGAGTAGAAGAAACTTTGAGCCAGTAGTGATGATATGGTGTGGCAGAAGAGAGGTTGGTCTACATGCACATAACACAGATTAGCTGATTTTTGCAAGTAGAACAAAAGTGGCCCTTCAAACATCTGGATCAAACTTCTTAAAATAATTTTGGGGCATTCTTGCTCCAAAATTTGAGCTATTTCAGACATTTCTATTTAAGATATTTTTACTCTCCATACCTTGATTTTCTTCGTCTTTGGTGCTGCACGACCCTTTTCCGGACTCTTTTTTCGCTTCTTGGGTTTGGTTCTTCGAACAGTTAAGGTGATGCTTGTAGGTGTGTGCTGTGTTGCTGTATACAACACAGTGGAAGGAGAAAGCTCTTCATCCCAGCTTTCTGTTGCACTGCTATCCCCACCTGAAAAACGATGATTTCATAGTTCAGGTACTAATAGTCTCAAAAGCAGTTTATTCTTTTAGATGTGCCCCACATCCAGTAAGTCATTACCTCCACTATTAACTCTTATAATAATCTGTAAAGCAACATTAAGTACAGATCTTCCTTACGAAAACAAGATACTACGTCATTGGCATTAAGCATATAAACCCTATTCCTCATGGTATCTATTTCTCCCCTTGTATTCAGTCCCTAAGCTTTACTGACTCAATCTCTAACAATTTGAGACTGGCTAATTTTCCATGTTTTGTGTTCACAAGGAATGCTTTGCTATAGGACTAGAATGTTCTCGGTACATTTTGTTTACAATGACAGAACTATACAGTGGTCTTGAGAGGACTTCTATCTTTTTCCGTGAAAAGAGCTGGCTGGGGGGACCATGGGAACTTATAAGAGGGGTTCTTAAAATGAACATTCAAATCACAAAATATTTATATGTCAAACTGTGGACCTAATCATCTTCCGCTCACCTGATATGTTGTCCTGCTTCCGCCGATGAAGTCTAATAACCTTCCCCCTGCTCATTCCCCTAAAGAGGGAAAATAAACTTAAAGTAGTCCTTCCAACAGCATGCATCACATCATAGCACACATGGGCGAAGTGTCTCTGCATATGCTACCCCCTCCCTCCCACCTACCAAATGGTTCCAGGACATTAAATTTCATATCAAATTCAATAGCTTTAACATCAATCTCTCATTCCTTGTTGTCAGCAATTCTCACCTAGTGCAGAGAATTCGAGCCAAGGAGCACTAAGGAATCATCTACATTAACAAACACAAGAAAGAATACTTTGAGCTTTTCCCTACTAGTAAGAAACCCTAATCCCAGCAACCCAGACTTAAATTTAGATGGAACAGGATCTTACCTGCACTTGTCACAGTTGAGAAGGAAGCCATCCTGAGAAAGACCACAAGGACACCAGGTAGGTACAGTCTCTCCTTCAGAGTTCGGGCTGTCTCCACAGCGTTCCTCTACGGGCGACGGCAGGCCATTCAGGTCAGAACGAGGGATGATCGTCTGGACAGGGGGAGAAGCAGGAGGTGTCGGAGGAGGAGGGGCTCCGTAATTATGATCCTGAAAATAAGATTTTTTAAATCAACAGTGTCCAAACACTGGCCCCTCTCTCCCCTAAAGTATGGTACATATGGAAAGAAAGAAGAAAGCAGTACCCTTCGTTTTTTTGGCTTCAACCAGGAAAGTGATAAAACAAAATGCCAAGGTCAACTGGGACATAAAAACAAGAACAATGATGCAGGGCTAGACGTCCGCTGGAGTCAGGGAAGTGCAAAAGGGGCAACTTCGTCATGCTGCATATAAACATTTCAAGAAAGTCACAATGTATAAGAATGGATTACACTCCAGGAAGATCACTGCTCTGGAGAGAAACAAATGCATACTCACAGCATAAGGCAGTCCTCGACACCCATGCCTCTGAGTGGTCCCATAATTATGAGTGGAATACACGCTCTTCTCATTAACTGCTGGACTAGCCTCCACAGATTCAGGGCTGCACAAAGGCGAAAAGCAACGCATGATAGCATAACACCTAATCTTCCCTTAAACTAACACTTCATTTCCCACTTTAACCCCTCCTCTTTCCACAACCACTAGCCACTAGGATAAGAGAAAGAACTCAGAGTGAAACAATCTTATTAACATAGCTAAGCCTATAAATAACAGTAGGAGTGTTATTAAATGTGGACTGTGTGTAACATGAAGCCAGTACAGGCAGATGTCTGAAGACAGGCACCTGGGATACAAGGTGTCCCTAATGACAAACACAAACGTACCAGCTGAGCGGGGAGTTTCCCCTAGAGAAGCCACTCTGGGCTGGTTTAGACTCAGAACTATTCTTCTTAATTGGATCTCTTAATACTTCCATGAAACCTCACATGACATTTGCAGTGAGTGAGATGATGAAAGTGCCTTCTGCACTGCCCCAGGGACCAGGCCCTCTTCCATTCACTACCAAGACAGGATACCCTGAAGAAAGTACAGGTAAAAACAATGGCATCTTATATTTATCATACCTCTCATCTTGATGAACCCCCAAACACCTTTCAAATATTAGAGTAATAATTTCTCATCCACCAATGACATGCAAGCATATTAAGTACAAAACTATTTATCAGCTGCATGATAATACCATAGAACTTCAAAATAATAAAAACTAAACTGGAAAGTTTTATTAGTCCAGTGACAAATAATAACAATAGTAATGGCTACCATTGTGAACTGCCCATTATTTGGTAGGTGCTTTATATATATTAATTCATTTAATTTCGGCAACCACTAAACATTGTGTATACTCCATTTTTACAGAGGGGGAAGATGTGGTGGTGAGATTACATGACTTCCCCAAGGTTACATGTTGACACAGCTAAGATCTGAAACAAAGTCTGACTGACTCCAAAGTCTATGCTCTTTCCACTTTAGAAAAGAGGATGACATTCAGTCCCTTAAAGAAGATTATTTGAGATCTTTATTAACTATGCTTAGTGAGAAGCTAGGTTTAGTATCTTTTTGTACCCTTTGTGAGTAGAAAATAAACTACTCAAGCACAATGTATTATTGTAGAATTATACATGTATTTAAAGTTAGAAAATTAATGCAAGCCTTTATAATAAAAAGGCTTTGATGGCAAAGGATAAAATTCAGGTTTATGGGAAGAAAGAACTTCAATTCTGATTGTTACCTGGTTAGGTTTCAGGGCATACTGAAGGATAATTCAAAAATATAAAGTCTGCATGACTTTGCAGAACAGAATAATGATTTGTAATTTATATTGTTTAGAACACAGATTCACAAATTAGAAACTCTAGTAGTGACTAGTATAACTCAAACTTAGAGATTAATGGGTCTTTCAGGGAGTCAAATAATGCATATTGTTTGCTTGAAATAACAGACATTTTTTCCTGCTTGAAGTTATACAATATGTAGTATGGTAGGAATAAAGTGTGCAGTTCAATGTGGTGCAATGTCAATTGAGAAGTGAGGGATCAAAGAAAATTCTGAGATATGTATCCAACTCACCCAGTTATATGCTCCAAAACTGTGAGAAGGGATCTTATTAATAACAGCAAAGGAAATTTCTAGGTGAAGAAGAACTTTAGACAGAGGAAAGTATTCTCTGTTAGTGAGGTGCATGCATTTTATTACTTAAAAGTGTCTGCAAGATGGGAACAGGGGAAGGGGTACATCAAGAATGCAGGTCAGTATTCTTGAGAAAAAGATGATCTGAACATGGCTCACTGAGAGGCGATCATCTCTGAGTATTAGGAAACAGGTGGGGTTTCCTAAATGAAACCAAAGGTAGACAAGCATTAATAAAATGAAGGTATAATTTAGTTTCTATGATGGATAGTTAAAAGAAAGTAATTAAATTTATACAACATTGTTAATTTACTAGGTACATTACTAGATAAACAAGTATTCCAAAGAGCTGTACATATTTTATATCGATTTTGTACCACTGAAACACACAGGGTGAAACATGATAGCTGTTTATTAGGAATGGATTTTTTGGGGGTGGGGGGTGGAAAACAGGATAAAGGAAAGTTGCATGAAATCAAAGATGGCCATGGAGATGGAGCTATGCTGGTTGTATGTTACCCATCTCCAAAGGGGTAAATATGAACATATGCACCTCATGTGCAAGTGTAGGGAATAAAAATAAAATGTATATTGTGGAGGTTAAAAGGCCATCCTATTGCACAATACTTACTAGTCAAGCACAGCATTTAATATATTGCTGTGCATGCCAAATGTAAAATCTGATGAAGAAACTCTGCAATTTCCATATTGGTTACTGATTAAATACATAGTTAGATGCTGACAGGTAACTACAAGATTTCCTAAAATATTCCTTGATATATATACCAGTTTTATATTTTAAAATATGAATTTAATATTTGGAATAATGGAATTACATCTCTTTAGTAGACAATCACTTTATGCAAATGTAATTACAGTCTTTCTTCTCCTATCACTGAATTGGACACATACACAGAAACCAGGCTCACAACAGATATACTCCATCAATTGTGTTCTAAGTACAACATGTAACCAGCTGCTATCATGCCATTTCTTGGAAAATGCCTGAGATTCTGTTATGGTAGAGTTGGAAATTCAGAAAAATCTTTGCTTGTCTTGTTACATCTACAAATTTTCCTATAAACACACACAAAAATAAATGCATATTGCATATTGTTGCCATCAGATTTTAAATTCCATGAGGTGAAGTCTAGGTCTAGCTGAGTATGTTGCTAGATTAACCTGTTGTTAATACCAGGTTTAATCTTAACAGTGAAACAGGCATGATGAAACATTAATAAATATCATTAATGATTTAACGGAATGGTACATAAGCTAGTTATTGACATTCTTTTCCTTTGTAGAAAGGCAAACTATGTAGTTAGTTATGACCAAAGTATCAGAAATCTGTCTAGAGATCATAGGTGAAAATGTTTCAGGAAATCCTATGATATGCTGGTGTTAACAGAGACAATTCAATCTCATTTGTAGACCAGAAGTATTTTTATTTCTGGAATTACTCCTGGACCCCCTAGCAGTATTTATGGGCAGTCATGTCTATACTTTGGGGAAAATACCAATTGTTAACTGCTTTGGGTCTCTTATCTACTAATTCCAAACTTATCTGTTTAACCTGTTTGTTGAAATTTCTCACAAATGTGAATGCTACCTATCTATATAACAGACAATGCACATCGTAGCAGGTTAGTAGCTGACTTTACAAAAACTATAAACACAATACAACTGAGATACCTACTAATGCAGGAAGAGTTTTAAGTACTTTATTTCAGGAAAGAGTTGTAAAATGGGAAGTCTCAGTTACTGACATAGCTAAATATCTTTTGCATGCAAAAAAAAAAGGAAAAGAAAAAAAGCTCTAGAAGAAACAAAATCAACCCTTCCCCACCCCCAACCCTCGTTTTTCCTTTTTATATGGGAATAAGCTCAAACACTGCTTTTCATTTTAGACTACCCCAGAGTATCATATACTATTTCTTAGGGTAGCTTTAAGTCTTCCTCTTTACGGAACTCAGTAAACAGGTAAGTTATATTAGGTGGCTTTATGAAGAAATATACATGCTCTTTAATAATATTCTCAGTTTTAAGGAAGAAAACCACTATTAATCAGGGATGCCATTCAACCCAGAAATCTGGTACAGCTGCTTTGCTCTGCTGAAGGGGGAAGAATCCCCAGGGACTGTGAAAATGGCAAGAGAAACAGGGGAATGAGAGCAACACCCACCTCACTCAAGAAGTGGCTGTGGGATCAAGAGTCTGAACTGGACCTGAACATATTCAAAACACCAGGATTTTTCCAGCCCAGACCCTAATCCCTGGTACTGCCTGGAATAGACTTGGCTTCTGGGGGTGTGCTGCCCCCTAGGCCCCTTGGGTCTCTTTCGCTGGACTTTCACATCCTGGTGTAGTGCCACTTCGTCTTGAAAGGTAGGGGGCTTCCACTTCCTTTCTGTAAGCAAGGAAGATTGGGTACAAGGGAGGTAAAAGGACAAAAGGGGGAATCTGTGAGCAGGGGGAATCTTGGACAACTTAAAAGATAAGGGATACAAAAAGCCTAAAATTTTTAAAACTGTGAATAATATATATAAAGTTGTATAATGAAGGCCTACCTTCATTGTTATTTGGCATTTAAATTCTTCAAGAATTGAGAGAATAATTTTAGGGATTGGGCCTTTGGACAAACTGAATTCCTAAAGCTGCTCTTAGCTGAAAAAAAAGTTTGGTACCACTGATTTTGAAGGTCCTCTTTCTAGGCAACAAATATTATAAAAAACAGATGACATTGCTCTCCATGTTTTCTACCCCAGATGTCAGAAGGCCTAGGCAACCTGCCCATATAGTTTTAGCCCCTTTACTCTAGAACAATAGGAAGTACATAGGAAGAGGACTTCAAGGAAAATCAGTTGGAAACAACACTGCCTTATCTCCCTCCATCAGAATAATCATTAATTCTATAGAAGCAGGTAGTAATACCTACTTTATTTAAATCTTCCCCACCCATCAAAACAAATGAAAATGAATTCCTACTTTGCAACTCTGGTTCTATTCATTATTTGCCCAGAAATACCCCTCTGAAAACTCTTCCTTCCCCTTCTAATTTATTTTTTCCTCCAGCTTCAATGGGGGAAAAGGGAAAGGTCTAATGTTAAGAAAATACTACATATTATCTTATTAGCTATCCAAATGAAAGTTGTCTCCACACAGACTGGTAATGTACCTACTACCTAGAAAGTAGCACTTACTCTGATCCAGCAGCCATATCTGAGTAGGATGTATCTGGTGTGGTGACTCCCAGAGGGATTGCAATGCTCATGACGTCCAACACAGCAGAGTTTGGAAATCACGGGGTCCACTTAATGGAGACTGACCACTCTGAGAGTGGGGGTGAGCTGCAGAGCCTCATCCAACATGTTATGGACATGAGGAATCCTGCAACAGAAAAGGAAAATATCTAGTAAAATAAATACCTAGTTATCAAGTAGTTCTTTATCTTAAATGCTACTGAATATTTTTCTGCTTTCTTGAACAAGGCTTTTAAGGGATAATTATAAAATAAATACAGCTACAGTGTCCCATGTTTATTATGCATTTCATTAATGTTCCACAAAGTGAGGTGTCAAAAAGTTATGATTACATTTTATTTTACTTTTCAGTAGAAGGGGAAGAAAGACTCTGCTCATCTCACTAACCAGCATTCTGCCCATTCTAAAACTTCCCAAACAAAATTTTCTGGCAGCCTAGGATCTAGCAAACAAGTTTTAAGACACAGGATGGTGATTAGAAATATCCTAGTTTACCTAAACTCTTTTAAAAAAATCAAGATCTTCATTGAAGCTTTTTACCTAGGCCACAAGTAAATGCAGTTTCACAAGCAGTCAACACTGTTATTTCTTCTAAATTAAAAGAGATCAATTTGTTGCTTATACTGGATTGCAAACAGCTGTTTCTTACTGTCTTCTTTTGTCACTGAAAACTCTCATCCTTCTTTTAAATCATCTTAACTATAATTTTGGAAGAAGATGCAATCTTAGCAACTTTATTTGTGGGGTAACAATACACTGCTAGATATGAACAGAAATATAAACCGGGAGGAGGCTATGTGTGTGTGGCTGCAGAGGGTGCATAGGACATCTCTGTATTTCTTGATGAATTTTTCTGTGAACCTAAAATGCCTCTAAAAAACAGTCTAGATTGTTTTTTAAAAACAACAACAACAACAAAAAGCCCCAAATCATGAAGAGTACAGTTTCATGATAAAGACTTAAGAACTGTGTATGAAAAAGTAGTGAGGATAGCTTGACATGGTGACCATAAACCAGTGGAATTTGGGAACAGAAAGACTCAGAAATAACTGAAGTATTAAAAAAATGCAAAAATAGATTAAGAGATTTGGAGTTATGGTGCAGAGGCAAAACAGTTTTCTTTGTGTGGCTTTACATTAGTTTTATAGTAGTGTATAAAAAAACATTAAAAGAATAAAACAAAAAGCATTTTATTTGGGGGGAATGAAGTCAATGTGAATGTCAAAGACTCACGCTAATAAGGACTTTTGCAAAAGACTACAAAGAGTCATGACTGATATACTGATTCATAATAAAACAAGACATTAGAACAATTATTAATACTAAAAAAACTAAAGGAATGAAAAGTACATGATACTGACTGAGTCAACCCAGGGGGTTAATGTAAAATTTTTATTTTTTTAATACAGTTTCACTTTTGTTGCCCAGACTGGAGTGTAACGGTGCAATCTCGGCTCACTGCAACCTCCGCCTCCTGCATTCAAGAGATTCTCCCACCTCAGCTTCCTGAGTAGCTGGGACTACAGGTGCCCGGCACCATGCCTGGCTAATTTCTGTACTTTTAGTAGAGACGAGGTTTCACGATGTTGGCCAGGCAGTCTTAAACTCCTGACCTCGGTGTTCTACCCACCTCAGCCTCCCAAAGTGCAGGGATTATAGGTGTGAGCCACCATGTCAGGCCAGTTAATGTAAATTTTAAATGGTAGATGGTCTGAGATGCTCCAATCTTACTTTGATAGACAAAGATTAATGCAAATAAAAAAAAAAAACTTGTGTGCTGGGTACAGTGGTTCACAACTGTAATCCGAGCATTTTAGGAGGCCAAGGTGGGAGGATCGCTTGAGCCCAGGAATTTGAGACCAGCCGAAACATAGTGAGACTCCAACTCTACAAAAATAGTAAAAAAAAAAAAAAATTAGCCAGCCATAGTGATGTGCCTCAGTCCCAGCTACTTGGGAGCTGAGGATCACCTGAGTGCAGGAGGCCAAGGCTGAGGTGAGCCATAATCACGCCACTGTGCTCCAGCCTGGAAGATGAAGTGAGACCTCTGGGTGTGACAACACACCTGTTCCTACCTAACTGGAGGTAACATATAGCTGGGCTGGGGAATGACTGGGCTGCTCGTGGTGGCTTATTCCTGTCATCCCTGCTCTTCAGGAGGCTGAGGCAGGTGGATTGCTTGAGCTCGGGGGTTCAAGACCAGTCTGGGAAACGTGGTGAGACCCTGTCTCTACTAAAAATACAAAAATTACCTGGTGTGGGCCGGCATGGTGGCTCACGCCTGTAATCCCAGCATTGTGGGAGGCCGAGGCGGGTGGATCCCTTGAGGTCAGGAGTTTGAGACCAGCCGGCCAATCTGGTGAAACCCCATCTCTACTAAAAATACAAAAATTGGCTGGGTGTGGTGGTGCATGCTGGTAATCCCAGCTACTCAGGAGGCTGAGGCAGGAGAGGTGCTTGAACCTGGGAGGTGGAGGGTGCAGTGAGCCAAGATCGCACCACTGCACTCCAGCCTGGGTGACAGAGTGAGACTCAGTCTCAAAATCTGGTGTGGTAGCATGAACCTGTAGTCAATCCCAGCTACGTAAGAGGCTGAGGTGGGAGGATTGCTTGAGCTTGGGTGGTGGAGGTTGCGATGAGCTCAGATTGCGCCACTGCACTCAGCGTGGGCAATAAAGTGAGACCCTGTCTCCAAAAAAAAAGAAAAAGGGGACTGATAAAGTTTTCTGCCTTTAGGCCAACCTTACACATAAATGTTTCCTTTCCCTAACAGCATATCCAAACAGAGACTTTGGCAGTACATCTTCTAAGCCTTTGGGAAACTGAAGTAAAATCTGTAAAACACTCATCAAGTAAACCCAAAAAGACATAGTTACATACTGGGGGCTGTTGGTTACAACTCTTTCTATTAGTATCGTTGTATAAGTCAGATTTTTAAAAAGCCCCAAAGCTGTCTGACCAGATAATCCTAAGTCTGATTATCATCACACCTCCCCTGATCAGTAAAAGGAATCTGAATCCTGTTATATTTTTAGTAAAAGAGTTAAACTAAAAACCTTACTCAACATCATTAAAAACCCTTTGTTGTAGCCATTACTATTGTATGCCCATTTAAAAAATGTATGGTTTCATGGTGAAACCCCATCCCTACTAAAAATACAAAAATTAGCCAGGCATGTTGGTACATGCTTGTGATCCCAGCTACTTGGGAGGCTGAGGCATGAGAATCATTTGAACCTGGGAGGCAGAGAATGCAATGAGTGGAGACGGCGTCACTGCACTCCGGCCTGAGTAAGAGTGAGACTCTGTCTCAAAAAAAAAAAAAAAAAAAAAAAAAAAAAAAAAAAAAAAAAAAGAAAAAAAAAAAAAAAAAAAAAAAAAAAAAAAAAAATAAAAAAAAAAAAAAAAAAAAAAAAAAAAAGGAAAAGTACAGTTCTAGATAAAAGACAAGTTATAAACCTAAGCTGATACTTGATATTTTTCCTAGAGCAATTTTTAAAAGATATTCTAAAAGGAAAAGATGGAAAACTTACTTCAGATAACATCTTAATGAGTGAATAAATGATTGCTAAATTCACTAATTAAATACCCAGGTATTTTGGATAGATGATAAATAACTTTATGAAACATTAAGTTGGCCAGGTGCGGTGGCTCAGGCCTTTAATCCCAGCACTTTGGGAGGCTGAGGTAGGCTGATCACCTGGGGCCTGGAGTTCAAGATCACCCTGGCCAACATGGTGAAACCCTGACTCTACTAAAAATACAAAAAAATCAGCCGGGCATGGTGGCAGGCACCTGTAATCCCAGCTGAGGCAAAAGAATCACTAGAACTCAGGAGCCAGAGGTTGCAGTGAGCCGAGATCACACAATTGCACTCCAGTCTGTGCAACAAGAACAAAACTCCATCTCAAAAAAACAAACATTAAGTTGATAACTATAAATATCTGTTTCATAACTTCTTCCATTTTCCTTGTGTCTAGTTTAGCATGACTGTTCCACTCTTCTGATGAAAGCAACCACAATAGGTTAGCTTGAGCATCTCATCTTAACTAATGCTTTAATAATAAAGAGGCTTCTTAATTCAAATGCTGTTAATAACCCCAAATTTCGCAAATATAACCCTAAGAATAGTTCCTTCCCTAACTCTCTGTAAACTCTAGCAATTAAAATGTTAACTGAGGAAACTTTAACACATCATCTAAATGCAGTATTTTCTTATTATAATTTGTCTGTTTTTTCCTACGAGAATATAAACTCTATGAGGACATGAATTTTTGTCTGTTTTATCCACTGCTGTAGTTTCAATGGCCAGAACAATGACTGACACACAGTGAAGTTCAAGAAATATTTGCTAAGTAAATTACAATCACCATTTACTACAACATAATTCTAGGATTCACTTGAATGCAAAAAAATAAAACAGAAATTAAAAGGATTTACTTGGGTCAGTCACCTTTATAGACTTCTGAATATGAAGTCCCCCAAAATTATCTGCTAGTAGTTCTGAAGACCTAGAAAAAGTTGAGACACAAATTAGTATAGAAAGAAATAACACTGATGAACACATAGAATGGAATTCTATGGCTATATTGATAATTTTGTTTCTGTATACTATCTTGTTTGACCATCCTAAATCTATGTTATCTTGTTTACCACCTTATGTCCATCCATCACTAAATTTTTGCCCTTTAAATTTTTATTTTTCCATAAAGCGAGAAACTAGAGGGTAGGGAAAGAAATTATTTGACTTAAATGGTAAATACTTATGTCACTGGCTAATTCTTCCCCTTTCTTCATATTAAAATTATTTCTCATTTTCCAAGGGACCCCTTCTTTTTCTCTTTCTTTAGACATGCTTCCCTTCTCCACTGAACACTTCCCAAATGCAGAGACCTTTCTTTAACCTGATGCCAGACAACTCTCCAGTCAGACAAGGGCCCATCGCCACCCATTAAATTACAAGTCCTTATTTATCACTCCTTTCTTTCCCCTCTTTCTACACCCCCTAGTTTCCAGTCCTACTAAAAAAAAGAGTGATAAAAGGGAGTCAATTCTATTTGTGGTCAAATGGAAACATGCTTGAAAAACGGGGTTTAATTTTCTACCTTCCAAAAAGGAAGGGAAAGTAAGTGACCCAGGACTTTGGAGGGAAAATGTACCCTTTAAGTCTGGTGTTTTTTCTATAAAGTCAAATTTAACACTAGCCAGAATGAGTTGTTAACATCTTAAAGATTAATATATCATAAACACGAAGAGCTTTTCATAGGATTACAATGACCAAGCATTAGATTTATTTGTTGTTTTATGATTTCTAATTAAAAAAACTGGAAAATAAACTATTTTCAGAAACAATTTAAAATAGTACATCCAGAATCATTAGAGAAATAAAAAGTATCAAAGTACAGTAAAAGGAAGGAAGAAATAAAGTAAATCAAAGAATAAGCAATAGCAAATAAGAAAGAAAAAAGGAAAGGAAGAAGAGAAATAGGTATGAGTGTACAATAGGGAGAAAATGCAACAGAATTTCAATTTCTTTTTAACTATTTCTAGAACAATCCATTAGAATCCACAGGAACACTAGTAAGTTCTTGGATTCAGAAACAGATGCAGTCTGTATCTTCCAGTACCAAGTACTCTCTTTAGGAGGTGCCGTTTACATACAGTTTTTCTAGGGAAAAGGATGTTAAATAGAACATGCCAGAAACGTTTCTTAATTACCCCATCTTTTTAATTGGGTTCAGAAATGGCCAACCGTCTCTGTATCATCATTCTGACAGTCTCTTCTCTATATGACTTGCTGAAAGCACAAGACCTGTATGATCTGCCTGGTCATTTTCAGAGAAGACAAACAAAAAGTGTTTTATGAACAATTCCAACAGAGATTTCAGAAGAAGAAATTGCATCAGACAGGTGAGGCGGAAGCAGCTGGGAGACAAGAGTCCAGTAAACAACCAATCCAATGAAAGAAATTCAGAACAAGTCTGCTTCAGTAATCCTGTGAAGAGGACTGGCAGGAAGAGGAGTGCCGCTTCAGAAAGAGAACAGGCCTCATATGCTTCAGACAGTCTTTGTACTGAGGCTGTGGACCTTGGCCATTCTCCCAGAAATGATGCAATCCTGATGAACAAGATCTGCTGCCAGAGAAACAATTGTTAACAGCCTATGCAGACAGCAGCTCAGCCAAGGAGCAATCTCTGATCAACTCTCTCCATAAACCACCAGAACGCCAAATCTTTCTTCCTCAATTTCAGTGTCTGACAAAACATAAGTGAACATAGTATATATTTAGATACGTAAGAACAAGCCATTTTCTCAAAGTGTCCTTTTTCTGTTAATTCCTTTGGCTATACAATATCTATTATTAACTTGAGATAAAATACTGAGCATTTTTTACTTCTATAAATATAATTATCCAATCATTTAACAGTGATATTAACACAAATACAAAAATTTATACTTATTTTCCTCATTCTCCAAGAAAACCCTTTTTGGGAGGTAGTTTCTTCCCTACGCATAAAAATTGCTCTGAAATCTATCATCCAACGATAATATTTCAAAGTAAAGATAAATATGTACACATCCTAATTCAGAGACGGAAAGGTATATTTCATATGTTTAAAATTAGATACAACTAAATATTAAATATTGGCATCTTTCACAGAAAAGAGAAAATCTAATCTTGCTTATTAGGCTGACATAAAGGGTAGGCCGAGCAGTATCATCTCACAACAGTACTTATAACACTCACTTTTTCTTTGAAGGGCAGCAATATTACTTCAGAACTTACTGAAGGATCAGATTTTCATCTTATTATTCACAATTTACTAATTTAGAATCTAACTTAAAAATAATATTCCCTAGAATCCTCATCTCCCAGGCCTGGTTTCTTTTTCAGAAGTTTTTGTTATCAGATTTTTCACATGGTATTATAAAAGTATAAAAAATTATTTTTTTCTCACTAAAGATCCCGTATACAGCAGTTCTCTAAACTTCGACTAGCCAACAGCCATGATAAACCAAATTTCTTCCTTTTGAAAGCAATAACCCTTGAACTGGGATTCATGAAAAAACACAAATATCTAAGATATATCCTGAAATAAATATATTCAGCCCAATCTACTACTTCTATATACTACTAAATAACGAAAATGAACAGATATACAGAATAGCTCTGAAACACTAGGGAAAAAAAAAATCTATAATAGGTCCATAAATGAATAAATTTAATTCAGGAAGACAAAAAACTTTGACAATATTTCAAAAGGGTTAAAGTTGTTAATAAATTTTTTAAGATCCAATTTCTGAACTTGATTATTCAAAATTTTGTTTTTACATATAGGCTGAATTTATTCTTAAATACATCTATAGTTATTTGAGGCTGAATTTATTCTTAAATACATCTATAGTTATTTGAGGCTGAATTTATTCTTAAATACATCTATAGTTATTTGATTTCTCTTTTGAATGATTTTACAAAATAGCAAAAAGGGGAAATGGTAAAAGAATATTAGGTTTTTCAGTATGATGATTTTTACTGTCTACTTAATTTTTAAATCACAGAACAGTCCAGAATACAATAAATATATGACTACATTTTATCTACATGACTGACTTGTATGAGAATGAATGTGAGAATGACGGAAGATGTACTTATCTTCCATCTCCATCACAAAGTCAAATATCTCAAGTAAAATCACTGCAGCTATATTATGACATATAGCCTTTTACCTTAGAAGAAGAAAAAGTATGCTAGGAAAAAGCACTACTAGAGGCCAGGCACAGTGGCTCGCATCTGTAATCCCAGCACTTTGGGAGGCCAAGGCAGGAGGAATGCTTGAGCCCAGGAGTTCGACACCAGCCTGGGCAACATAGTAAGACCCACCTCTTAAAAAAATGAAGAAAGAAAAAAAAAGAAAGGCACTATATTAGGAGTTAGGAAACTTGAGTTCTAGCCTACAACATAATTAGTGACCTCAGAAAAATCACTTTACACAGATGAACCCTAAATTCCTCAAAGTAAAATCTTCATTGTGTTTCTTCCTGCTCCAAATTTCTATGAATCCTGGCACTGCTGCCAATTAGCTTAGGTAATTCATAGAATGTCTCAAAGTCTCAGTTTTCTCATCTGTATAATAAAAAAATAATACCTGTTGTGCTGACTCATAGGCGCACACAGACTTGCGTTTGCGGCAAGTAAGAGCTTAAATAACTTTCTGGTTAAATCCAACACCGCGTGTTCTCACTCATAGGCGGGTGTTGAACAATGGGAACACATGGACACAGGGAGGGGAGCATCACACACTGAGGTCTGTAGGTGGGAACTAGGGGAGGGGCAGCGGGCAGTGTGAAGTTGGGGAAGGATAACATGGGGAGAAATGCCACATATAGGTGATGGGGAGGAAGGCAGCAAACCACATTGCCATGTATGTACCTATGCAACAATCTTGCATGTTCTTCACATGTATGCCAAAACCTAAAATGCAATTAAAAATATATATACATACATACATACATAAACTTTCTGGTCCCTTTAAATATATGTGAAGGAAGAGGAGCTGCTGTTAATAATGTGAGAATGGCTAAACTCTTCTCCAAAAACATGTATTTCAAGTTTGCTATAGCAGACAATGTGGAAAGAAAAAAAGTGAGAAACTTGAAAAAAATGAGAAAGAAGTGTTAAGCATTAGAAGAAACAAATTACGAGTTACTGGAAAACAAGGAGATGAACTCTAAAAGAGCACTCAGAGATAAGTTCATGTAATTGGAACAGTATAAATTAGGCTTATAATCTGGAAAAAGTTAACGCAAGCAAAGGATTCAGGGGTTCAGAGCTGAAGAGAGAAATACTGATTGGGGTGAGCAGTGAGAGACAAGAAACATCATGATTTAGTAATTTAAACCAAGATAAAAATTTCCTTTTCTTCCATCTCTTCTACAATACCAGTTTATTCCCTGATTCCTCTGCCTAAATTTATACTCCCTCTAGGAGATACTGAGCTTGGCACAATAAACTGATGTCTATAAGAAATCTAAGTTTACTAGGATAAAAGGCCATTAAAGGACAACTTTAAAAAACCCTACTTTAGTCTATATTAAGAATTTCTTTCCCCATAAAAAAAACTTCATTAGTAGTGACTATCATAGAGACCAAGTCATACTTAGCAGTATGTAGAGCAAAAGAGGGGAGTGGCAGCAGCATAAGACTACATACCATAAATAATAATTATTATCTAAATATTGTGATCACAAATTAACACTGAAGAAAAAGAAATATTTTATTTACAGCCCATTTAACAATGATAAACAGGTATTTACTGCTAAACTAATCAATAATACACAGACTCTTTGCAACCTTAACAAGATCAGGAAGATTTTAGGCTTCTAAGTACCAAATAAAGATAATGCCCTCAAATAATTTAGACTGACTAACCTATTTAAACAGTTATATTCTCAATACTTTCTGAAAGTTCTGTCCTCCTGTATTTTGAGGCTCCGAACATGTGTTAGAGACCAATGTACCAAACTAGAGTAGGAAAAGAACTTCTCAAATCTCTACACAGGCCTCCTCTGTGAATTCAGATATTTTTCATTTTCAAACCCCAAAATGGAAGCCACTTTTACTTGGTATAGATGAAGTGGGTTGTACAAATTTGTGAGGCATTAATATCTGTATTTTTACTTTGATTAATTTAGGAAAATTTCTCCAACCGATGAAGAAACAGAAACGAAGAAACAGAGCTACAAAAAGATTAACTTGTATGAAGTCTACTACACACCTACATTAGTAGAGTTTACAGGAAAGAAAATTAAGATTTTAGTGTATAGCTTCTGTTTATTATAGCAATTACTACTTACCTTAGATAGCAACATCTGAATTATAACTGTTTTTATTTATTTATTCTTTTTTCTTTTTATATTAATTAATCAACTCGTAATTCCAGTTTCTGTGTATTTTCAATAATCAACTGTTTTATTTCTGAGACAGGGTCTCACTGTCATCCAGGTTGGAGTGCTTTGGTACAATCATAGTTGATTGTAGCCTCAACCTTCTGGGCTCAAGTGATCCTCTCACCTCAGCCTGCCAAGTAGCTGGGACCACAGATACGTACTGCCATGCCCACCCTTGTTTTTATTAAGTATCAATTATTATTGGTGCTATGTTAGACAATTAGGTCCAGATAAAATTCCTGGCTGTCTTGGGATTTATATTATGTAGATATGCAACTTTTTTCCTTTATTCATTATTCATCCATTCAACAAACACGAACTACTCTTTATATGTGTGTGTATACATACATACACACACATACATACATACACCATGTTAAGTGCTATTTTAAGAGGTTTCTTTTATCCAAAGAACAAAAGGGTAGGCAACTTGCAAACTGTTTAGGTTTGCCTATGTGCCAAGTGTTGCATGTATACAACCATGAAGGGGGAAAATAAAATCCTCAAAGTGGGCTGAGCGCAATGGGGCTCATGCCTGTAATCCCAGCACTTTTGAGAGGCCGAGGTGAGGGGATCACCCCAGGTTAGGAGGTCGAAACCAGCCTGATCATCATGGTGAAACCCTGTCTCTCCTAAAAATACAAAATTAGTTGGGTGTGGTGGTGCACACCTGTAATCCCAACTACTCAGGAGGCCAAGGCACAATAATTGCTTGACCCTGAGAGACAGAGGTTGCAGTCAGCCGAGACTGCGCCACAGCACTCCAGCCTGGGTGACAGAACGAGATTCTGTTTCAGAAAAACCAACACCACCACCAACAAAAACTCAAAGCTTAACAATTCTGATATGCACAGTAGGGTTCCCCTCCCCTATGAATGGCTGTATCAATAAAAATGCCTGTAAAAATATGCAAATATTACAAAAGCATAAAAGGCAGTAGTTAAATTCTCATGTAAGTGATAACCGTACTGCTCTGTAAGCTGCTTTTTAAAATTTAGCAGTAAGTTTTAGATATGTTTCTACGAGTATGTATAAAACCATTACTTTCTCTGAAGTGAGTATTCCAGTCTACTTATCTACTATAATTTAAATCAATCCTCTGTTGGTAGATGTTTAGATTGTCACTGCTTTCCCATAACATATGCGATGCTGTGTTGAACGGTCATATACTTATACCTTTCTTTATACATATGCACAAACATTTCTTAGGACAAATTCCTAGAAATTAAACTGCTAGAATGGTATGGGCATATTTATTAGTGATGACAAACCACCCTCCAGGAAGTTAAAACCATTTTACATTTCCACAAACATTTAGGTTCTTGATAAACATGGTAGGTGGCTAAATTTCCTTATTTCCTTAAAAGAATTTTTCTTTTTTTTTTTTTGAGACAGTGTCTTACTCTGACGCCCAGCTGGAATGAAGTGGTATGACCAATGGCTCACTGCAACCTCAGCCTCTTAGAGTCAAGAGATCCTCCCATGTCAACCTCCTGGGTAGTTGAGACTACAGGCACACATCACCACTCTCGGCTAATTTTTAAATTTTTTGTAGCAATTGGGGTCTCACTACGTTGCCAGCGATGGTCTCAAACTTCTGGGCTCCAAGCAGTCCTGCTGCTTGGGTCTCCCAAAGTGCTGGGATTACAGGTGTGAGTACCACACCCAGGCTTAAAATAACTTCAACTTTCACTTTCCTCATACGATCTTTTCTGTAAAAGATTCTCTATATTCTAAAAGAAAACCCTAGGGCTGGGCATGGTGGTTCATGCCTGTAATCTCAGAACTCTGGGAGACTGAGGTGGGTGGATCACCTGAGGTGTTCCAGACAGCCTGGTCAACATGGCGAAACCCCATCTCTACTAAAAACACAAAAATCAGCTGGGCGTGGTGGTGGGCACCTGTAATCCCAGCTACTTGAGAGGCTGAGGCAGGAGAACTGATTGAACCCAGGAGGTAGAGGTTGCAGTAAGCCAAGATTACACCACTGCACTCTAGCCTGGGTAACAGAGTGAGAATCCATCTCAAAAAAAAGAAAAGAAAAAAGAAAAGAAAAAGAAAGAAAGCCCTAAAATGAAAAGTGATCTGCAAATTCTCAATGTTTACGTGATTTGCTTTTTTTTTTTTTTAAAGACCAAGTTTCACTCTTGTTCCACAGTCTGGAGTGCAATGGTGTGATCCCGGCTCACTGCATCCTCTGCCTTCCAGGTT